ATTCTGTTCTCTTCTTTTACTGTAATGTATTTCCCCTTTAATATGATAAAATGCTCAAATTAATGTTGACTAAGCGTTTTCCAGAAAAAGGTAAAAATATTCTCAATGGATAGTTACACTTATTCATACTTTCTAGAATATTTTTTCTTTTATAGAAGAACATATGGTAAGAAGCCTTCGATCAAGTATTATACATTTTTAGCTAATAGTTTTGGAGCAACATGTACTAAATGTTTTGCTTATATTCTTGAAAGCTTAGCATTTTGTTCTTCATTAGAGGTGAATATTTAGCTCAGAAAGTCCATCTATTTTTTACCAAGTACAAAGTATATATGTCACTGCAACTCAATTTTTTTCTCACACACTTTATTAATTCTATTCTGTTTCTCATAGGCACTATAGATATGAAGTAGTAATAAAAATGGTCATGAGTATAATGATTAAAACAAGCCTGTATCTCAGATAGCCCATAAATTTGGAAGTACAGAATTATAGCACAAAATTCATATTAAACACAAAATGTTAAGTAATTAAAACATTTGCTGATAGAATCAAGCACACGAGTGTTTTACAAAACATTCATATGCATATAGAAGATGAGAATAAACTTTTAAGTCTCAAGAACATAGAAAAATGCTGTATCAATTTAAACACATAGAAATTAGGAAGTGATTTACAGAACTAAATAGAAGTACATGGAGCATAAGGCTGCAAGTTAAGAATTTTGTGATCATCAGTAGAGAGGTTAAAGCCATACATTTATTAGGGGATTAAAGGGGAAACAACTGAGAGCTAAGATCAAGCCCTGAGGAATTGAGAAGAGGGGAAGAAAGAGAGGCCAGCAGGAGTTAAAAGGGATGGCAATGTTCAATGACAGTGTTGTTAGATGTTAAAAGTGATTAAAAGTAAGCTTGAGCAAAAATAGATTAAAGTAAGATTTTATAGAGATAGAAGCTTGGTGTTAAGGAGAAGATAGTGTAGATAAGCAAGAGTTTAAACATTTTAGATACTTTGTCAGATTTGAAAATGAAAGAAGCAGAAGGAACACTGGAGTTACTGAAATAAGGTTTTAAACTTATACTGGAAATTGGAAGAGATATTATGCTAAATCAGACTATGCATTTGGATATATTATTTCATAATCTAGCAAAAAAGGATAAAAGTACATTCATCTACATGAAGAAACAAGATGAGAAGTATGACCTTATGTTTGTAGTGCCAATAGACACAGAGAAGAGAAAAAGATGGCTATAATGTTTAAAAAGTATTTAACTTAGCCCAAACAAAGATGCTTAAAAGACCTTGATTCATTCTCATTCAGTATAAAACTGATGGAGCAACACCTTTATCCTCAAAATGCAGCCTCTCATACTTTTTCAGGCATTACCATTTCCTAAAGCAAAGATGAAAACAATACATGACATTCTTAAGCTAGATACTCATGGTTGCACACACAGATTCTGCCCGTTATAAAACTCAAATTAAGTTGCATAACAAGGAAGGTGGGAAATATGTCTTTATGTAGGCAGCCTAGCAAAGAAATGATCACAGTTTTCAAGCCTAGCAAAGAAATGATCACAGTTTTCAAGGTAGAGTAGAATGTCATAATTCTGGAATATTATTTTTGATGCACAATGTGACAGTCTTGAATTCCACGCTTAAAAGCTGGCTTTTTATGAATTCCATGAGCAGAACTAAAGATTTGTCTTTAAAATATGGCTGTGATAGCACAAGAATTAGTTTACACTGAAATTAATTGGGGAGCAGAATTTAGAGATTAAACATTGGGGATAAACAATGGAAAACCTCCTTAGGAATCTGTTGCTATACAGTATTTTGTTCTGAGCTAGCATAACACCAACAGAAACGATCAAAGAGAAGATAAGGAGACCCTGTGTGTGCTGATGTAAGTTGGTAACTGGCTGTTTACCTCAGAGTAAAGAGTTAGTTGCAGGTGTGTTGCAGTTCATGTAAAGCTGACAGAAAGTTATGCTATTAATAGAAATGGAGAGGATGACCAAAGGATGAACCGTTGTGAATTAATACTGTACGTATAATTATTGAAACGTATAGTGCAGAATTGTTGAAAATTCGCTTTAGATTAATATAGCAAGTAAGATCACATATGAGGCTTTGAGATATCAAACATTTTATAAGCAGATAAATATGAATTAGAAAGCAAAGGGAATTTATAAAGTTGAATCTGAAAGAGCTAGGAGGTAAGAACAGAGATTCGTTGGAACAAAATCTTTTGCAAGTACAGAAAAGTAGAGGCAAACGGAAGGAGGAGGAACTTTAGCTTAGGAAAAAGTAACTAAAAATAGATCTGAAGTTGCTGACAAATGTGAAGGAGACAAAGTGGACGTACATAGCAGTGCAGCTACTTAGGGGTAGCGTGTTGCCTGAAGCAGGATGTCAGAAGGGAAGGGATGAGTTACACTATCATAGCAAAACATGCCGTAGATCAAGGGAAGACATAACAAACTTGTAAGAGTCATAATGAGGAGGAAACATACAGCACTTCCATATAGTAGTTTTGCATATTTTGAGCCTGTGGCCCACATGACCTTTTCAGTTTAAGGAGGAAATCCGTGAAATGCGTACATTTTTTAAAGTATCAGTTTAAGCTGGAGAGGTGGTTTGGTCGTTAAGAACACTAGCTGCTCTTGCAGAGGACACATATTCGGTTCCCAGCACTCACAGGGTCGCTAACAGCTATCGATAACGCCAGTTCCAGGGATGCACTTACATACATACAGGTACACACGCACACGCACACACACACACACACACACACACACACACACACACACACTAAAAAGAAATTTAAAATAAAAAAGTATCTACCATAAATTTTCCTCTGTAGATTAGAGACCCTCTCATAGTGGCTTCTCATCCCTCAAACCCAGAGCCAGGACAGTCCTCGCTTCTTTCCTCATTTCTGCTGTGCTCTCTCCCTCACTCTTTTCTTTCTTGCCCTTTTGTTCTCACTCTTTCCTTTTTACTTAGCTCCATATATAAAGTCCATGTATGGCAAAGAAAAAAACAGCAACCTTTATGTTTATACACTTCTGACCCAGCAGTCCACCTCTGTCCTCTCATCTCACAACCCTCCTTGAGCTGCCTTTATGAAACTCAAATGCATCTGAAACTCAAAAAATTAATGATAGCACACAATTACATCATTTTTCATATGTTGTTATGTTTCTATGACTTCTATTTGTGAACTCTAAATCTAGCTCCAGAGACCAATTTTCTGTTTATAGTTACCTTTTCAAGAGTCCGAAGAAACATTTGAATTTTCAAATTTTCAAATTGTCATTTGAGTAGATAAGCCCAAGAGGATCCACAATACTTACTAATATTAGTAAACTTATAAAAAGCACATTATTGAGAATTCCTATCCACCTGGACAATTCTTATCCTTTTTGGAAGTTAAGTCTTACTCCACATTTGTCTATTTCAGGCATGGGAACTAAGGGCACACAGTTATGGATGGTGCCATTGTGCCGTCTACTTACAGTCCTCACTCTAACTACAAGGTTTCACTGCTTCTAATAAGAAATGAAGTTTTAGATATTTTAAAATGGTAATATTTTTAAAGAAAAAGAAATCTTAAAGAAAGATGATAGCCCATATTCTGATGTTCAGGATACATTAAAGATGCCATAAACACCTAATAAAGGCAATAGAAAGTTTTAAATAAAAGTTAATATCTACCCAAAAGCCGGTTCTATTGTAGTCAAGCACACAGCAAATCAGATCAATCAACCTTTCTGCTCAGTGTGTCATTTTAACTTAGAGGAACAAACAAAGCACTTGTTTGTCAAACAGTCACTATTAAAACAAGGACATTCTAAAATTGCATTAGAAAGATGAAAATGACTCATTTGATCTTTTGAATTTTATCATTAGAAAGATTATTGTGAAGAAAATTGGGCTTTCTGAAGTGACAGAAACATTACTCAAACAACTTTGATTGAATGTAAGATTTTTACAGTACTTTCCTAAAAGACCCATATAGTAATTTGGTTACAAGAGTGGCTTTAAAATTTGAGATATCGGGTAAAATATTTTGTTAGCTTCATAATTAGACAAAATATACTTATTTTAACTATGAGAATAATGTTTTGGATAGTTCTATCAACTCATAAAGTATCTGGATTATAATTAGTGTAAATTAATTTAGGTACACTGCTGACAGTTTTAGGAAGTTAAATTTGAATTATGTAGGAGTTATTGAGAGTATTTCTAAGACCATCAGAAATTGGTTTCATATTTCCTGTATTTTAAAACAATGATTCAAATTTATTACAATTTGAAACCAAGGAAGTAGGAAGTAGCCAGCCTTACTGTGTATTTGTTTCTAACAGACTTTGATGTCAAGTACATTGTTATGTGCCCTGAAGCCTATAGTAATGCCAGAGGCTTATTAAAATGTAGGGGTTCTGATCTGTTTTCCAGAGTTAAATGTGTTGCACACAGAGATGTAAATTCACAGTACTACTTTCCTAGGCACTTAGCATACATTGATTGATTGTCTCCCATTTTCGTGGTATCTTTTATATGGTAACAAGTTCTTAAGATGATTTTTTTCAAAATTTTCCTCCCCTTTCACAATTATTACAGTCTTTAAAAATGTTCATTTTATAACACTGTTTTCTTTTCAATGATTTTCCAGATTTTTTAATGATTTAAAAACAATCATGTGTGAAGAAGCCTATATTAAAATGCCCTTTGTTTATTGATATGCAGACTTTCTTCTCACAAGTAAAATGCAGTGCAGAAATGCCAATTCTTATCTTACTATGGAAATTAGCTGATAAAAACAGATCTTTGAAGTGATTTTGCCATGTGTATGCAATCTTATGATGAAAATGCTATGTCTGGTTGCTATTTAATCTTACCTGTCCTTTTGTTTCTTTTGCAGCAAAAATGCTGGATAGAATCTCTTCCCACTGCTATTTAAATATATTCTTTTTTTCTGTCAATTACCACAG